ATGGGTGGCGGGGATCCAAGTACTTGAGCCATCATTGCTACCTCCCCAGGGTGCACATTAGCAGAAAGCTAGATCAGAAGTGCAGTAGCTGAGACTCAAACCAACCACTCCAATGTGGATGCAGGTGTCGATGTCCTAAGCAGAAACTTAATGGCTGTACCGAATGGCATCCCCACGTTACACCTTTTCTGTTAAACATTTTCATGGATGCTTAAGGAAAGCATTTCACCTTTTTTTTTTTTTTTTTTTTTTACTAATGGTTTATATCATATATAACTTTCTTCCCCTTTCTTCCCTCCTTGAACAATCTTCTATTCAGTAGGTTGATCTGATTACCCACCCCACTGAGGAAATGTTTCATAAACTTGTAAATTTTACTCAGTGAACTGTACGTGTTTGTGACTTGATAGTTTAGAAATTGTGACTTTAGAAATTACTCTTAAAATAATCAAAATGTGCCATCTATGCCTGTTTTCATTCCTCACTGCAAATTCCTTAGGTATTACATAACCTAGGGATGATTTAAAGTATATGGGAGCATGTGCATAGTTGGTATATAAACACTTCACTTGTTTATTTATTCACATTTATTTATTTGAGAGGCAGAGAGAGAGAAGACAGAGACAGACATCTTCCATCCGTTGTTTCAGTTCCCGCAATTGTCTTCTGTAGTCAGGTTTGGGCCAGGAGCCACGAACTCAATCCCGGTCTCCCACATGGTAGCAGAGACCCAGATACTTAGGAACCGTCTCCTGCTGCCTGCTAGGGTGTACCTTAATATATGCTGTGTGGTTTCCTGAGCAGATTACCTGTTCCTTATTTGTCTTGCTTTCTGTTAGAATCTCAGTTTCCCTGTGTTTTAACCTGATGGAGTAACCTGCAAACTTTCATTCCTGAAGAATCCAAGTCAGTTGATCTGCTTGTTTTTTTTTTTTTTTTTTTTTTTTTTTTCTGTTTTGTTTTGTTTCCCTATTGCTGTAGTTTTTCATCAGCTTTATTGTTGAGCAATGGGAGTACTAGGACATGACCTAGCGAATCCCCTGAGTTCCGTGTATCCTCCTTTGTCTCCATTGTATAAAATTACTGGTGTTATGGGGAAGAAAGTTGAGTGACATGCCCAGAGCAGGTCATTTTATCTACATAATAATCTCCTTTGCAGTGGATGCCTTTTTACAGTAGATGTTCCCACCTAGTCTGTGATGGTTAAGTGCTGTTACTTAAGCCTGTACTGAAGTCAGAAAGTACATCTCAGTGGTGACATAAACCCCCCAGTCATACCTGTCCTGCAAAGGGGAGTGATCACAGAACTTTGAAAAGGTTACAGGTGGTTCCTCACTAATTTGTCTCTTAATGCCTTGCGAAAGAGAGCATCTTATGGACTCTCTCATACAACCCAAGTGTGAGGTTCATGTGTAGGTGACAAATGATAAGTCCAGTCCAACATTATTGTTTCTCTAAGCCTTTGGATCCTTCCTTCTTATGTTAATGAGACTCTGAAATCTCAGCCTTATTGAAAGTAAGTCGTTGCGTTCAACTTTCGTTGAACTTACCAAGTAAGTCGTTAGAATCACTTCCAGCTGTGTGAGTAAACACATTAGATGAGGGACCTCTAGTAAAGGAACAGGCAGACTTTTTTTTGTGGAGGATCAGAGAATAAATATTTTAGGCTTTATAGACCATATAGGTTTTGTCACAAGTTTTCAGCCCTGCTCTTTTAGTGTGAAAGTAGCCATAGACAGTATATACCATTCATTAATGAAATGGCTTTGTTCCAGGAAAACTTTATAAATAATTTCTAACTTCTGCTTTGATAAATGTGCATGTTAGTGAATTATACCTGAGGTAGTGTTATATTCCATCTTCTTTGGTCTAACACCTTTATTTTATTATTTTTTAAAGACTTGTTTTATTTATTTGAAAGGCAGAGCTATAAAGAGGGAGGGAGGGAGAGAGTGGGGGAGGGAAGGAGAGAGAGAGAGAGAGAGAGAGAGAGAGATCTTCCATCCATTGGTTCACTCCCTCTAAATTACTGCAAAACCTGGGGCTGGGGCAGGCTGAAGCTAGGAGCCAGGAGCTGCTTCCATGTCTCATGTGGGTGCAGGGGCCCAAGCACTTGAGTCATCATTTTTGTGTCTACTCACCATTGCAGGTAGCTTTACCTGCCGCGTGCCAGCCCCAGTCTAGCACCTTTAGAATCCGTTGCTCTGTGGGGTTCTACTAATCCATCAGCAAAATGTTAAAATTCTTTTGCTCTATCCTTTGGGTAATAATGTATACCTGTGTCTCTGGAGCCTGTTGATCTTAAAAAAAGATTTACGTATTTATTCAAAAGGCAAAGCAACAGAGAGAGGAGGGCAATGATAGGTCAATTTTCCACCCACTGGTCAACTTCCTAAGTGACCACAACAGCCAGTGTAAGCAAGCCTAAGCCAGGAACTCCATCCTGGTTTCTCACCTCTTGGCAAGAGCCCAGGTACTTGGGCCATCTTTTGCTGCCTTCACAGGCACATTAGCAGGAAGCTGAAATGGAAGCGCAGCATCTGGGAATTGAACCTATACTCCAGTACTGAATGACAGAATTGTAGGTAGGGGCTTAATCTGACCTCCTGCTGAGACTGGACCATACTTATGCGTTAGTGACAGTGGGAGTGGTTAGCATGGCATGAGGAGGATATACATTCTCTTTCAAGGCAACTGTCTTAGGGTCAGGTTGTCCTAGGGTTTTTATTTATTTATTTTTTTTTAAGATTTATTTAATTTATTTGAAAGCTAGAGTTACAGAGATAGGGAGGGAGAGACAGATATCTTCCATCTGCTGGTTCACTGCCCAAATCACTGCAATGGCCAAGGCTCAAGGCTGGGTCAGCCTGAAGCCAGGAGCCAGGAGCTTCTTCTGAGTCTGAGCCAGGAGCTGGGAGCTCAGACCAGGTCTCTCATGTGCATGGCAGTGACTCAGCTACTTGAACTATCACTTGCTTCTTCTCAGGGTCCACAACTGTGGGAAACTGAAATTGGGAGTGGAGATGAGACTTGGACCCAGGGCACTGAGAAATAGGATGAGGTGTCCCAAGTGGCATTTTAAATGATATGCCCAGTGCTGATCCCCAACACAGGAATTTAGAAAGGGGAAATTAACGTAAAGAATTATTAAATTTTTATAGGAGAGTTAAGATTTAAAGAGGGCTCAAAAGGGTATCTAGAACTAAGAGACAGTCCCTAGGAAGGGCCTGCTTGGAAGCGGAGAGGGGGGCTTTCTCAAAGTTGGGACTCATATCTCATGGAGAAGATAGAGTTGTAGTCCAAGATTGGGGATGGAAAAATTTTCTGAGCTGCTGGGCTAGAGGTGGTCCACAGAGGCTGGGCACACGAGAAACAACTTTCATGTGTAGCTGAGTCAAGGCTGGTTGGGCTATATATAACATATATGTGTATGTGTGTGTGTGTGTATATGTATATATACGTCTGTGTATGTGTGTGTGTATATTCAAATATATATAAATATATACACACACACATACAAAGTAGTGGAATTTGGGGTGCTGCTACAGGCATGAAGCCTGGAGTGTGTGGTGTCCTCATTAGGAAGTGCTACCTAGGCTGTTGCTGGAGCAGAACACCCTTCAGTGTCCTCCCCTTACACCCTAAACAGCAGAAGCTGAACAACAGATTATGCTTAGGAGGCAGAAAAAAGTGAAATGCAGCAGCCAGAACCAGGAGGTAGCCTTCCTGCTGTGTGCCCAACATGCTCTTTACTGACAAAGCATAACATTGTGCTCAGTGTAACGGAGAATTGCTTAAGAGCTGTAGTCCATTATCATAATGTAGTTATTGAAGGATGAATTCAGAGCTGAGAAACAATTCATTGACATTTGGCCCCATCAGTAAGATTGTTATTCTACTCAGAATGCCTCAGTAGCTCCCTATTTAACAAGAGTAAAAAACCCAAGGCTGTACATACTCATGCCCTCCACTTCTTTGATCTCATAGTGTTTCCTTGTTGGTTCTGCTGCAGCCATACTTGCTGTTTCTGGAACACATCTACATGCTCCTGACATGGGAACCCTTGCACAGGCTGGACCTTCTTCCTAGAAAGCTCTTTTCTTAGATATCTGGGTAGTAAGGGCCTCTGTTCTTTCAGGTCTAGTTCAGATGTCAGCTTCTCAAGGAGGCCTGCTCTTAATACCCTTTTCTGCCATCAAAAGTTCCCCACACTCCTAAATCTTTTGTATGGCTAAACTTTTTCCACAGCACTTTTAACCTAATGTATTATGTAATTTACTTGTTTATTATGTCTTTTTTTTAAAGATTTACTTATTTATTTGAAAGGCAGAGTTACAGAGAGGCAGAGGCGGGAGAGAGAGTGAGTGAGTGAGTACAGGGACCCAAGGACTTGGGCCATCTTCTGTTGCTTTCCCAGGCACATCAGCAGGGAGTTGGATCAGAAGTGGAGCAGCTGGGACTCGTACTGTTGCCCATATGGCTTTACCTGCTATGCCACAGCACTGGCTTCTAATTGTTTCTGTCTTTTCCCTCCATAATGTCAGGTGCCAGGAAGTGGGGAAGAGGCGTGGGTTTTTTTCTGCTGGTCACTCATCCCAAATATCTGGAACAATGTCTGGTGCAGTGAATGTCCCAACTGGAACTTGAATATTATAGTAGATTATATAATGTTTATTAAGATGAATTTCTAGTATAACAAAATTATGCTAGAAATTTTATTCAAAACATTTTTACTACTGTGTTATGCAGTTTTTGCCTCTCATCTTATAGATTGCTTATTTTTTTTTGACTGATTAGATCAGTAAGGGTGTATGTATATTTTTGGGCTTCTTATACTCTATAAATAAAGCACTGTATTTTATTGTTACATTCTCTAGATTAAGTCTCACTGTCTCTGCTTTTCTCACTTGTGTAACTGCCTGAGCCACGGACTGTGTCCTTGACATTTTATATTTAGAATTAAATATCATTGTCTGATGATTTTTTAAATTTGTTTTTAGGTGCTGAATGTGGAGTAAATGCAGATGTTGAGAAGCATCTTGAATTGGGCAAGAAGTTACTTGCAGCTGGTCAGCTGGCTGATGCCCTATCTCAGTTTCATGCTGCAGTAGGTTTGTATCATAAACCAGATCTCTCAGTGGCTGTCTTAGTGAATCTAACTACTAGCTCTTTTTTTGGATAACATTTTTAAGAAAAGATTCATTTGAAAGGCAGCATTACAGAGAGAGACAGATTTTCCCTCTGCTGGCTCAATCCCCAAATGGCTGCAATGTCTGGGGCTGGACCAGGCCAAAACCAGGAGCCAGGAAGTCCATTTGGGTCTCCCAAGTGTAGCAGGGGCCCAAGCACTTGGGTCATTTTACTGCCTTCCCAGGAGTGTAAGCAGGGAGCTGGATTAGAAGTAGAGCATCTGGGATGTGAACCAGTGATCCCAGTGTTGCAGTTGATGGCTTAATGTGCTGTACCACAATGATAGCCACTGGATAACCTTTTCAATAAATGCAAATATTTGCAAGATTTCAGGTGAAATAGATTAGTAAAATAAATGAGTTACAGTTGAATGTGTATGTATCTTAACGTGAGGCAATTGAGGCTTACTACTAGAAGTATCAAGAATACCTTGTGAGAGAAAGCTTTGCTCAATGTGTCATGTAGTTTTCTACCTGTTAAAATAGATTTCAGTAAGTGTAGCTTAATTTTTTTGATGACTAGGGTTATCAATATTTGTATGCCCATGGAGGATCCTGCAGTTCATTGCCTCTTTAGTATTGGTCAAACTCCAACCTCCCCTTCTGCTGTTATTCTTAATGCTTACGTGTGTCTCTCTGTAGTGTCATCTGTGTAGTTTTTGATCACTTAGGACTGAGAGAAGTGAGATGATCAGAATAAACTCTCTAAATGAGGGCTTCTGTGGTTTTCTTAAGACTCACTGCATGAACTTTTGTGCTAGGACTTTTTGATACTGACTGGCCTTGGCGTCATTTTTTAAATGTACTTATGCATTCTCACCTTGTTTGGATTGGTTAAGACTGGCCAGCCAATAGCCTGACATGTAAGGAGACAAATTTTTAATAGGATATGGTTTTGCTCTCAGAAGAAATGTAATATTGATATAATTTACTATAAAAATGTAGTTAGCTATGGGTTTTTTTTTAAGCTCAGACTTTTATTACTGATTTTACTAACTTTGGAATAATAGGAAATATAGACTTTAAAAAAATCAGTTATATTTGAAAGGCAGAGGGTCAGAGAGACACACAGACACAGAGAAATCTTCCATCTACTGGTTTACTCTCCAGATTCCTGCTACAGGTTGAAGCCTGGAGCCCAGCCTCAATTCTATGTGGATGTAAGGGACCCAGCTACTTGAGTCATCACTTTCTGCTTCCCAGGCTGCACATTAACAGGAAGGTAGAATCAGAAGTAGAGCCAAGACTCAAACCCAGGCAGAATCTTTATTGTTGCACCAAGTGCCCACCTTCAGGAAATATAGATTTTAATTTTGTCTTTGCCACTTGGTAATACTGTGGCATTGCTTCAGTTGTTTAAGAAAATGTAGGTTTAGGGATTGGTGTTGTGGCGTAGTGGGTAAAGCTGCTGCCTGCACTGCCAGAATCCCATGTGGGTGCCGGTTCAAGTCTTGGCTGCTCCACTTCCAGTCCAACTCTCTGTTATGGCCTGGGAAATCAGAAGAGGATGGCCCAAGTCCTTGGGCTCCTGCACCCCCGCGGGAGACCCAGAAGAAGATCCTGTCTCCTGGTTTCAGATTGCTGCAGCTCCAGCTGTTGAAGCCAATTGGGGAATGGACCGGCAGATCTCTCTCTCTGTACCTCTCCTTCCTTCTCTGTGTAACTCCGACTTTCAAATAAAAAAATAAATAATAATAAAAAAAGAAAATGTAGACTTAATGAAGTTATTTGTAGTTTCCCAGCAGTTTTTATTTTGTTACCCAAGGAATTGCTGTGAACATTAGGTGAGAAAAATGGATATAAAGATTTCTTTGAAAATAGAGTAATATAATCACACATGGAAAGTATATAGACAGTTATTTTTGTCTCTGAAAATTAAGATTTTACTGAAACAGGTTTGATATGTTAACAGTTTTCATAACTATGTGGAGTTTCTGTTTGGGAGTTTAAATTTTAACGATTTTTTTTTAAGATTTATTTATTTATTTGAAAGAGTTACAGAGAGAGGAGAGGCAGAGAGACAGAGGTCTTCCATCTGATGGTTCACCCACAATTGGCCGCAACGGCCGGAGCAGCGCTGATCCGAAGCCAGGAACCAGGAGCTTCTTCTGGGTCTCCCATGCAGGTGCAGGGGCCCAAGGACTTGGGCCATCTTCTACTGCTTTCCCAGGCTATAGCGGAGAGCTGGATCATAAGAGGTGTAGCCGGGACTAGAACCTGCGCCCATATGAGTTGCCGGCGTTTCAGGCCAGGGCGTTAACCCACTGCGCCACAGCGCTGGGCCCACATTTTAATGATTGACTCACTCTGAGAAGTGTTAGATGCTTAGCACAACCATTTGTCTAAATTACTTTTACTAAGTGCCATTTACTGTGTGACCACATCATCATTAAGTGATTAAAATCCACTTCTTCTTGTGACTCAGACTGTCTCCAGAGCTGCTCAGACTTTTATTACTGATTTTACTAACTCTGGTAATTTATCCTTTTCAGTTATTGTCTTAGGAAAACTGCCTCTCTTAATACACAATATTCAGTCTAACATTTTAACAGAAACATCAATGGCTGTGGTGTTTTGTTCAAGTAGTCTAAAATGACTGCTGATTTTTCTTTAGTCTCGCCACTGTGTTATTGAACAGTGTGAATCAGTTAAGCTGAGACACGATTATGTATTGGTGAAACTCAGTAAAGGAAGAATGTAAAATGTTGCTAGTGATTTGAGAATTTGAATAGCAGTGTCATTTTGTTCATGATTTGGCAAGTAGCAGTGATTCACCACTGGGGCATACATGATAATTCTGACGAAGACTGGTGGAACTTGAGAACATTTATCATTCTAGTTTATATCATTTTAATTTATGTCAAACACTGTCCACAACAAACTACTACATCATTGAACTCCATCAAAAAATAAAATCCACCCTTAGATTTATGTAAATATGTCATGGTGCTTTCCTATTATATTTGAGCCTCATTTGTGAAATGAGGACAGACATTACTGTTCACATTTACACAGAAGGAAATAAATAATTCTCCAGTGTCTTTTTAGATATCATGTCCTTGTCCAAAAGATTATGAATTTTTTGAGTATGAGTACTATCATCTTCTTATTTTAATCTCTGTTCTGTGCTCAGTATATGTTTGAATGAAGGAGTATATTGGATTAGGGGAGAGAAAGAATACAATTTTTTCTATTTTTAGAATAGGATGTTTTTCCTTGTTGCCTCCACTACTGCCATTTAAAGCATCCTTTGTAACTGGCTTTCTGATCTGTTTTCTCCAGGAAGTGATCTTAATGCCTTTAGTCAGACTAATATTTCCATATTTGAATTGTTTAATAATTTTAGGATTCTGAATAGACTTTAAATTCATCTCTTACACTCAAATTTCTGATAATCTGGTCACAATGATTTGAATGCTGTATTTCCATTTGTAGGCTTACAAGTTATTTACATAATGAACTGTGTTGTATTGTGGATGAGTAATAGGAAAAGTGATTATTTTCAAGGCTATTGAATTTCATAATGTGAAAAACTAAGTATGAATTTCCTAAATCAATTATTGTTTAGTGCTCTAGAGGTGATGACTCTTGTTCTAGTAACTTTTGATATTTTAAGATGAAGAGCCAGGCAGGGAATGCTATCTTGATTTGCCATGCAAGTGACCTCAACCTTCTAAGAAAAGTTTTGATTCGTATGTTGAACTGTTGTCATCTGATTCTCTAAGGATATAGGTAAAAAAGAAACTCAGTTTCTCCTAGTGTATTCTTTTCTTTCTTTTTATTTATTTATTTATTTTTTTTGACAGGCAGAGTGCACAGTGAGAGAGAGAGACAGAGAGAAAGGTCTTCCTTAGCCGTTGGTTCACCCTCCAATGGCTGCCGCGGCCGGCGCACCGCACTGATCCGATGGCAGGAGCCAAGTACTTATCCTGGTCTCCCATGGGGTGCAGGGCCCAAGTACTTGGGCCATCCTCCACTGCAGTCCCTGGCCACAGCAGAGAGCTGGCCTGGAAGAGGGGCAACCGGGACAGAATCCGGCGCCCCGACCGGGACTAGAACCCGGTGTGCTGGCGCCACAAGGCAGAGGATTAGCCTAGTGAGCCGCGGCGCCGGCCACTAGTGTATTCTCATAGTACAGAGTACTTCTGTGACATCTAGTCACTAAATACATGGGTATTTCTCCCACAAGACAGTCCTACAAATTCTTCAGTGAACCCCAACTGGCTATCCTCCAATTCAAGTCAATTTTGACATAGTGTGTAAGACGGTAGTGTTAGATCCCACAGGTGGAGATTTTGGTCCCACGGGCTGTCCCACTTGCAAACCTGTCTTTTAAAAAAAATTATTTATTTGGAAGGCAATAAATGAGAGACAGACATATCTTCCATTCTATAGTTCAGTCCCCAAATGGCCACCCTCAATGGTCAGTGCCAGGAGTCAGGAGATCCATCCTGGTCTCCTATGTGGGTTACAGGAGCCCAAGCTCTTGGGCCATCTTCCACTGTTTCCCCAGGTGCATTAGCAGGGAGTTGGATCAGAAACAGAGCAGTTGAAACTTGAACTGGCGCTCTGATAAGGGATGTTGGTGTCTCAGGTGACAACTTAACCCACTGTGCTACAGTACTGGCCCCATGCCTCAGATATTTTCACCTTTCTGACTGACCTGCTATGAATTAAGATTCCCGTAACATTCTCCTTGGGTCCAGTTAACTTGCTAAAGCAGCTTGCAGAACTCAGGGAAACACAGTTGATTGTTCATTAAGTAACCAGATTGGGAGCATATCATATTCTGGGAACCTTCACGTGTTCAGCTGTCTGAAAACTCTTCCAAGCCCTGTCCTTTTGGGTTTTTCTCGGGGCTTCATTGTACAAGCTGGATTGATTACATCGTTGACAATTCATGATCAGCTGAACCTCCCAGA